ACACCTCCAGCCTTGTTTTCCTTCAGCCTAAACCTCTCCCCATGATGTTTCCTGCTCAGGCTCACAAAGCTGATCCAGTGCCATCATGCTGCCTGCCCCAAATCACTCACACGGTTTGGCATCTACAAAACAAATGAGCCCACGTGGGGCTCGGTGCTCACCAGCAGAGCTCCAGTCCCAGGGTCAGCAGAGCCACCAGGAAAGCTTGGCCTTGCCCAGCCTGCTGGAACCCATGGCCTGCCCTTCACCAGGCCCTGGAGCTGAACTTGGGTGAGCTCCCTGCCCCTCTCCAACCTGCCCCAAGAGATACTGGCAGCACTTAGCACAGCACAGGAAGCAGCACTGACCAAGTTTGATCCCATGATCTCCTTCCCCTGCAACAAAGGCTCACCTCACCCTCGGACAAACGCTTGTGAGACGGGCTGGGAAGGAACAGGCTGGATTTCTCCGCCATTGTAGTCCTGTGAAATGGATGCACCCCAACATCAATGCCCTTCTTGCAATGACTTCCTTGGGATTTGATCCAGAGGTCATTAGTGAAATCCAAGGGACAGCTTATCATATGTGATTTCAAGAATTTCTTTTTCCAAATTGCATCTATAAAGCCCTTTTTCTTTGTTCCACAATCTCCCTCAAATAAAAGGCCTAAAAATGACAACTGCTTCTGATTTCACAACAGTACAGTTTCCATACTCACATCAATGCACTTTTAAAGCATACATGCCAATTTAATTCTGTAGAGTGCTTAAAGAATGAACTGCAGTGCTATGATAGTCCTGATCCTGGTTTTGGGGCTCTAAAGCAGTCAGAAAATAAAAAACCCCAAACCCTCAGTAAGTGCCAGATCTGTATCCCCACCAGAACAGGTGAGCTGTGGGGAGGAGATGTACACCTGATGCCTTGCACATCAGCATGCACACATCAGGTCGTTTGTGGGTGCAAAATTCTGCCTATGCATCCTACCTATGGAACAGACCTTTGGGAAGGCAGCTTAGTGTAACCCAAGAAAATCCAAGTACACTCTGAGTGCAGTTTCTGCCTCACCAGGTTTTGTCCTGCAACCCAGCCTGAGGGATAATGGGCCTCGCTAAGGCAAATGTTTCTCCCACCTATCACTTGCTAATGGAAAAGAAAAGTGCTTCAGATGACAAGACAGGAACTGCTGGGAGAAGCACAGGAGCAATTAATGACAAGAGTACCTTTTCCTGGGAGCCACACAATCTCCTGTCCACTGCCCCTGTGCAGGAGATGCCCCCCACTCAGTCATGGTGCCAGCCTGCAGAACTGTGTCCGTGAACACTGGCTTGTCAGAGGGCCCTGGACGATTTTGTTCTTTCCTGGCTGCATGCTGAAGGCTGCTCTCCCTTCTGAACAGCCAGTGCTGCATCCCCACCTACTTAATGGCCAGGCTCAGCAGTACCAAGGTGTGCATGGGCATGCAGATGTACAGAATTAAGGCTTTCATACATGTTACAAACACACAGCAGGGAGTCTGAACATCTACAAAGCACCTCAAATTCCCAAGGCAGCTCACAGGTTATATGTGCAAAGGATATTGTCAGTCAGGTCAAGCTTCAGGAAAAGATTTCTTTTTGACACAGGGGCTTATGTATGCTCATAGAAGACCTGTTGAAAATAATTAAATTTTAGTGCAAGCCCAAAATTAGTTGTGATTTTTTGTAAGAAGGATGGAATAAAACATTTACTTAAGTGCTTTCCTAAGTTCAGGGTTCAGTGGTGTGTGACTCACCTTTGCCCTTATCATCACTTAAGAGTGCTCAGAGCTGCAGAACACCTGAGGACAGGGATGGAACAACACCTTCCCTGAGTGAAGCTGCAGGTAGGACTGGGAAAACAAAAGCAGAAAGACTCCTCCTGACCCAGATTTGCTAGGACACCTCTTCTAAAAGGCATATCACTAATTGGTGATATGTCAGAACCTCTCACCCAGCCTGGCACCCTGCCTCTGCTCGTGGCACCTGTGGACCCCAAGGGACCAGATCAAACACGGGGTATTTAGGAAAAGTGTGTGCACAGCACAAGACCTCTACAAAGATCCTCATTAGCTCTCAGAAATACATGCAGGGTCTGAATTACCTAATCTGTGATACCTTTTTGAGCACAGCTCCCTTTAATGATTTTCCTGGGCAGAGGACCCAGCTCAGTATCAGCTGGGAGTTTCCCCTCCTGCCTTGCTTTTCCACAGGCTGTGCTTGTTCTGCTGTGCCGTGGGTGGTTCTGCTATGGCAACAGCTAATTGGTCAATCTATCCATTGAGATCAACTTAATTCAGTTCACGAAATAAAATGAAGACTTTGTGACAGCTCCTCTGAAACCCAAGCAGTCTGGCCAGGAGTTCTGTGCCTGTGTGCTGAGCTGCAGTGTGCATATGTGAAAGGATCACTGACAGCTTGGACATGGTGATTGTGATGCTCCTGTGACATGTAGCACCCAGGCTCCAGTGCTGCACAAGAAACTGTACCAGTGTGTGGCCTTTCTATAAGGAGCCCTGACTGTATATAACCAGCCTCACTCCTTCCCCTGCAGTCCTCTGAAATTAATTTCATTCCTGGGTCAAAATTTGACGTAAGCACCACTTAAATCTGATTTCAGCATTATTTACAGAGCTTAAGTGGAGCTGATGCAGTACCTTGTGTGTAGGGATCAATTTCAACATTGATGTGTCAGGCCTTTCCTACAGCAGCAAGGAATAGAGAAAACATAAAAGAATAAGGAAAACAAGATTACAGAACCACAAATATTGTCAAGACTAACCTAGCTTACCCTCTGGAACAGTCTGTAACTTTGTTTTTTTAATCAAGATTTCCAGCTGCCTCTATCTCTTTAATTGAAAAAAAGATTTTCATTCCAACGGCTTCTGAAGATGTAACAGCACACTTATGGGTCATTCTCATAGAATCACAGAATGGCTTGGCTTGGAAAGGACCTTAAAGACCATCTAGTTCCAAACCCTCTGCCATGGCCAGGGATATCTTTCCCTTGATCAAGCTGCTCAGAGCTCCATCCAACCTGGCCTTGAACACTTCCAGGGATGGGGCATCCACAGCTTCTCTGGGCAACCCCTTCCAGTGCCTCACCACCCTCACAGTAATAATTCATTTCTAATAGCTAATCTACATCTGCCCTCTCTCAGTTTAAAACCATTACCTCAAGATGACCCTGAAATTTAGGGACTAAGAACATAAAACAGAATTAAACTAAATGCTTAATTAGTTCTAAACGGACAGAAGAGCATGGAGAATATTTTTTTCCTTCTTTCTGTACTGAAGAAGTCAGCCAAAGTTTTAGGGATTAACACATTTGTTCCTGAATAAAATCTGACAAACCTAAATTTTGGCTGGAAGCTGGTTTTCACATTTAACAAGTAAATCCACAAGGAGGTTAAATGCAGTGAGCCCCAACAGTTCCATTTTGAGATGCCATCATGACACTGCCAAGTTAAAATGTTTGACCTCTGCATGAAATTTCAATGTAAGATGAATTGTTGGTTCTGTGGACTGACTCAGGAGGCAGTAATGTGATTCAAATCATCTGACTCTCAACAGAAAATATGTATTCTTGTGTAACAGTAAGCTTCTTCACAGTCAAGTATTTAGACTGAAAAACCAAATCACACACTGAACAATTAACAATGAGCCATTACCTGGAAAGCAGAGCTCAGGAAGAAATAAATTATTATGTCAGGTCGTTATTATTTAGGTGTTTTGATTTACATTAGTTCTTTTATTTTCAAATTCCCTCCCCAATATATTTTGGTGTGTCTATCTGTACACAAATTGCAAATATTCCATTATGCTTCTGAAAACATTGACAGGGACTCTGGAGGGCAACAAACCACCTGAACTCTTGTTAGATAAGAAGCAGACAAAAACTGCTGTCAAAATGTAAGAAATGAAACACACTAAGTGAAAAGACCCAAAGCAAACCAGGAATTAAACATTTCAAATGGCTGCCTCTTGCTCCCTTAGCAATTTCTGACACTGACAGCAGCATCTTTGTAAGAACACTGTCACCTGCTTAATGCAGAACTGTTAATAAGCAGCCTCTGGAAACCTCTCAGATGCTCCTTTAGCGCAGTGATCTGGTTTTGGTCTGTAAAATTAAGAAGGGATGTTATGCTAGACCTTTTTTTCCAGCTACTGAATTGTCACTTGGAAGAAGGACACAAATGTACTGACACCTGTGAACAGCATAAAATACAGGACAGGACTACGTGGATGGAGTGATGCTTCAAGCTCTTCTTTCTCTCCTTCACATTGTACAATACCTGTCTAGAACAGAACTGTAAGAGACAAACTAATGCCATTTTAACCCAAATTTCTGCTAATTCAGAGCTCTCTTACAAATAAAAGCCCTCAGAATACACCATTTCCAAGCCTGCCACTTAATGAAGGCAGGTGTTATATAATGCAGGGTGCTGGTGCATGATCCTTCTGAAGCCAGCCACAGGTAATGCATGCAGAAACAACGATTCTGGGCAATGATAAATCCTGGTCAGATCATGAAGTGACCAATGAATGGGAATTCAGGTTTCTGGACTGAACTCTTGAAAAAGCTGGGGTCAGTCAATAGAAACAGATTGTCCATCCATAACAAACTATAAACAAACAAACAAAATAAACATATGCCTTTTCAAAAAAACACAACAAAAATTTGATTGAACAAGTGTAAAAAAACACTCAAGCTGTCATTTCAGTTGCATGTTTATGAGCCCCTGGAGAGTTCCATGACTGCTCTCAAGCACGTGGGTGAACTGGAAGTGTCCATCTCCCATGTGAGCCAACCAGAGGCGCGCAGATGATGAAACCGCATCCAGGCAGACACAACGGTTGCTATTGCTTTTCACGACCATCTCAGCATGGAGTGTGCAGGAGTGACAGTGCTCTGGAGGCATATGCATGACTGGTCCAAGTCCTGGAAAGCTGACTCGGTCCCTACCTGTGAGCCTGCCCTGTGGTTTAGTGCTGGAGCTCTGCTGTTCAAGATTTCACCTCTTCGCAGTCTTGATCAGTGGAAAGCTCCACGTCGGAGAGTCCAACCTCCATTGCCATAATCAGTGAAATATCTGAATCACTGCTGACTGCTGGCTCCTGGTCATCTGTGAGGGTAGAAAAGAACAGGAAAAGGTCATGTCTTTCTGTTAATGTATTGCTCAGTTTTAGTTCTGCAGGTGGAATCCAGAGGTCTCTCCACCACCGAGATGGTGATTAGACTACAAACTTTGCTCTTATTTAATATCTGTCTCCAACACTTCCAAAATATCCCAAAATTCAAGACATTCATAGTGAAAAGCATGATGAAAAGGAGTCTGGATGGGTAACATTTTCTTCTCTTAATCCTCTCAGGGCTTTTTATCCAGGTCCTTCATGAACTTCCTCCCACCATGTGGCAATTTCCCTCCCTGTCCCCTTTCACTTTCTCAACCTGGCATCATCCTACTCTCCCCCAAAGATAGCAAGCTAATGACAAAGCCACAGGCACCTAGTGGAGCAACTGAATAATCAGGAAAACATTTCCAAGAGGAAAAAATCTGCCCCAACCCTCAATAAGTGATAGAATCTCACAGGACATTTTAGGAGGGCACTACTCTAATGTAGGAACAGTGGCATCGGACAAGGACAAAACAAATCCAGGACTTTGGACCAGGCTACCTGCTTTCTCAAGTGGCTCTCTCATCCTTTTCTAGTCTCTTTATGTTCACTCTTTCCTCTGATTTGAAGATACCTTGTTTCTTGATCCAGTCCAAAGGGATCTACCTTAATGACCCCAAATACTCTAACAGTTGTAATGCTGACCTCTGCCAAACTGCAAATCACATTGCTGGAAGAGCAACTTGTTTTTGTTTTGATCCCACAGCACTTACCATGTGTATATTTAGCAGCAAATAAAGCCAACAGATTTTAAACTACTAAAAGCTAATTTTCTTCCAAGAACAAGCAGGAGAAGCAAAGCACACTAGGGAGATTTTCAAAGGCACAAAAACCTCATAGGTGGCTCAGTCCCTGAGACAAAAATTTGATGGTTTATATTTTCAAGTGGTTTAATTACAGAGATGGTATTTATACTGTAACAATACAATGTATTTAAATCTGTGGCAGTTTTTCCGTTACATATTTCATTTTTTATACAATAGAAGCAGAGCCTGATTGATGCTAAAAAAACTAGAAATTGAATATCTAAGAATTAATAAGTAAGAAACATGACAAAGGAGCCAGGAAAATAATAACTCCTCACAGCTTAATTATTCACTTGAAGCTAAGTGAGCACAGTTAATCACCTCTCAAGAGCAGCATGACTTTTAAAAACTTTACATTTTAAACCCCTCGCATGTGTTTGCTTGTGCTGGGATTAGACCTCATGTTCTGCAGAGAAAGCTAGAATGGGGTCTGCATTATTCAAACTGAGAGTCAGCGTTCTCCTTGGCAACTCTTCCCAGTTTTCACCCTGGATTGCTTTTATGCTTTCTTGATTGCAAGATAAATAATTAGTGCACACAACATGTTGATATCTCTATCTTTTTTTTGCCCTTTCAATATGACATTAGTAAACATTTCGAGGCATTGCTTCTGACGATAAACGTTTCCACCAGAGGTGGAGGAAGTATGTACAAGCTGAATGATACATCCTGCAGATTTTGTGGTCTTAAATGACGTTGAACCTTCAGGTGAGCTGCTAGGTCCTGGAGTACATCAGAGCATGTCATACACCTCCAGCTCCAAAAGCACTATCTCGATTGGTAACAGCTCCCTGAGTCAGAAGAGTGTGGTTTCAGACCACTGGATTATTTATCATTCCTGTATAATTAATAGGATTCTCAAAAACAATGAAAATGATGCTTAAGAGCAAGTTTATATTAGCAAGACAGAGCTCCTGAGGTTTAGCCATGCTGAACAGCCACTTGGAGCACTCTTGAGAGACAAGGTGTTTTCCATCTGAGCTAGCTGTGCAGAAGAAAAGGACTGGCTGAAGAGTGACAGCCAGATGCATGCTGAAGAGGCAGGCAGAGCTGCCAACACCAAATGTCAGAGCATCCAACAAGCAGTGTTTAATAATGCTGAAATGTCGTTTCAAGAATTGCTGTTTCTTCCAGGGTTGCACAGCAGAAAAAAAACCCCTCAAGTTCAAGAGTTCAAGACAGGCAGATAGAACAGGACCAGATTTGCAGCTCACATAGCTCCTATCTGATGGAGGTACAGCAGCACACACTCTCCAAGCCAGTAAACTCAAGTTTTACTTTACAAATCCTATACAATTATTCAAATTCTTGGATCTTAGTCTTTGCAGTGTGGGCTTTTGTAGTCTCCTTTGGAACTGAAGTGCAGGTTGGCAGGAACAAGGAACGATCCTAAAAATGCCTATGCCATTGATTTTCCAGCACTGTGAGAGTGCCTAGAAACAGAATCACTGCACCTTCCTTGCTTGCTACCAGTGTGGCAGTTCAAAATCCTAAAGCTACAGCTTTGGCAGAGTGGGGAGAACACCTTGGATATCACCATTCTTACACCTTCTTCCCTTTCAGGGGAGCACTGCCATTTCTATGGAAGCTGTAGTGCACGACATAAGGAAATTAATGCATGCCTCAGCATTACCTGCTGTCTGTGTAAACAGGAGCCCTGCCACGACCCCAGCACACACAGGATGAAACCCTGGGAGGCTGCACAAGTTACACAGACACAGATCAGCTGTGGGTAACTCTGGCAGCAAGGTCTGCATTACAAACTGCCTCACCGTGGCTCCCCCACACGACACAGGCTTGCCAGACTGTGCAGCTTTGTTTGGTTGGTTTTTGTTGGCTGGCTGCTCAGTAACACAAGCCAGCACAGTCACTGTTATTTGTTAAAGGTAAGCAAACCTCAACTACATTGCAAGTGCCAGGAGCTTAGCCTGCGTTTTGCATCCCTGCCTTTCAGATCCTGTTTACAATGACAAAGCTTACACAATCACACAGCTTCTACAGGAGATGCCTGGCTCACTGTTAACAACCTTTATGGCCCTTGTGCAAGTTTTTTTTGTAATTTGCTGTTTTTCTTAAAGCCCTGAAATCAGACGAGGATCTCAACTTTCGGTGAAGATCTCAGCTTTCACTTAAAAATAAATGAAGCTTAAGGGGCAAGAAGGAAACTAAGTGTTTTAAAAATTAAATCTCTATTTTCTCAACCCATTTTATATGCTGGAATATCTGACTCGTGATTTGAGATACTTGAAATTGGCAACCCTGTCTAACCACACACACTATAATGCTTCCACTGTGCTTTACAGCACTTCTTGCCACGGGCAGAAAGCCTTTTGCTTAATGAAGCAAAAGGCACATCTCAAGCTGCTTTCCAGCCAGAGTATTAGTGCCTACAGCAGGGAACTGTAGACCTCCCTGCCACATTCCTCTCATGTCAGAGAAACATAATACACCACAGCATGCTGCCTGCCCAGACTTTTTCCACTCACTTGTATTTCCTGACACACATTTGTTTGAGAAGTGAAATAAACCAAACTCCTTCTCTAGCCAATATTATTTTAGATCAATTACAGCAGCATGGGAAGAAGATCACCACGTAGATTTGGAAGTGGCCTACACAAAGGTGGTATAGCTCTTGCTTCTTGAAAAGTACATCAAGAGATGCTTACATTTGAATATTACTGCAATCAAACAAAGATGAAAATGGCTAATTACTCTGGTGTGTTGAAAACAATAAGATTGCACACTAGTAACATTTATCTACTGCTGCTGCTATTCATAACCATTGGTGTAAGTCTGGAGCTGTTGTACACTAAGAAATATTCCAAAAGGAAGAGGTCAGACAATGGGTTTCTAAGAATTTGATACTGCTTCAAGAGGCTTGGGAGGGAGCTAAGCATTGAACAGTGAGTGAAAAGTGCATTTACAAACCCCTTCCTCTGCCAAGTGTACAGGCATGGGCACCAGCTGAGATGGGCAATGACCCACTCAAGGGTGAGACACAAGCTGATCAAACTCTGCTGGACTTTGCACTCATGGAGGCCTCACTCCTGCTCACCACCATGCTCCTCCCGAGGAGACCACATCCCATACTGTCCTTTGATGTCCCTGGGACACAGACACTGCCATGGGGCTCTCCTAAAATTGTTCCAGATTGCCCCAGAAGCTGAGTTTTCCCCCAGGCTCACTGAGATGTAAAAGCCCATAACTGGGCTCAAATGCCAATAAGCAATTTGCATCCAGGAAATCAGCAGAAAAATGAGACCACACTAAAATGTTAACAACAAAAGGTCCTTGGCATTAAGTATATATAAGGTTTGTCTAAGTTGGCACTTGTTTCCTTCTCCACACTTTTGGGTAGCTCTGGGCTATTACACCTATTGACAGTAAGCAGAGAAGTACTACTACTCATTTCACATCCTCATTGTAGTGAAATATACCTTATTTCAGAACTCTTCAGTTTGTGAAGACAGATTTAAACATAACCATGAAATCCCTGGTGTCAGTTATGCTCCCAGATCTAGACAAGCATCTAAAACGCATGGAATACCATGAACCTTATTTCAGTCTAGGGCTCACTCCTGAAGAAAACATTCAGATGTGTCTAGAAGGATTTTGCTTCATAAGAAACCAGCAATGTGGCCATCTCCTAGAGCTTTGAGGACCTGATCAGAAAATATATCCAGAGTATTAAAGGCATTGATATGAGATCTTTATTAAACCACATTCTGCTCAGCTTGAAGCCATGGAAGAATGCCAATGCAAGCAGTACTATTCAGATTTTGTTTCTGGTAAAGAACAACCAGGATACAATTAATCACATTTGATTTATGAGAGAGACATATCTAGAGTCCTCTATTTTTCTTTGTCTGTCTAAGAAAGCACTTGACCATTACAGAGTTTATTGTTACCTCCTACTGTGGCCTTGCCATTGCATCACTTGGCTGTTTCTAGTCTAAGAGGAAGAGCATCTTATGAAACCATTACCTCAAATGGCAACTATTTCACAACAATACCAATTCAATTTATCACTAAGATCCCTTCTTTTAAAATTACTACCGATTGTTAAAATTATTCTCAAGTTAATTATCTCACAGTTCTCCTTGGATCATTTTATAAGTCTCAAATTCCTACCGCATCATCTT